GAGAGTGAGAACCAGAGAGGGAGTGTGTATGTGTCAGAGAGAGAGAGAGAGAGAGGGGCGCGCGTGTGTGTGTGAGTGAAAGAGACAGAGAGAGAACCAAAGAGGGAGTGTTTGAGGGGGAAATCAACGTTGGCGCGCTGAGCAAAAAGGCGTTGGACCAACGTTGGCTGTCTGACGTTGGGCCAACGTTGGCGCGCTGAGCAAAAAGCCGTTGGGCCAACGTTGGCAGCCAACGTTGGCCCAACGTCAGCATGTTATCTGTGTTGTTTGTGAGCAGTGCAGCACATACTCTGTCACCGTCTCATAGGTCATCGTGTACATTTCAGCGAACTACACTCGTGACTACACGACCGGCAAACAGCTGGACTTTGCCACAGTGTTTGCGGTTCTGTTCAGCGGAGTCACGGGAGTCATGGCAGGCGCAAACATGTCTGGTAGGTGATGCCCCTCTCACCCCAACCCCCCACCAGATGGCGCTGCAGCCAGCGTCGCACATGAATACAACCAGTTATGCATTGAGTGTCATTGCAATGAAAGTTTCCGTCGCACAATTCAATTCAAATTCCTTTATTTTCACTTATGAATTACATTTTGGAGGTAACATATTAGTTGAGCAAGTTAATACACAATGCTAATAATATTAAAAGAAATGAGACTAAATATATAGAAGTGATGGTGGTGCGAAATTACCATGTAGATGACTATATCTAGTACCTAACTTGATTTGATATACAATTAATCAAACTTTTGTTAGCTGACATATCTATAGAATGCACACCTGTCTTTATAGGTTATTATTTGCATAATCCTTGAGTGGGAGTTATACAGTTAAAACGACCTCTATATAATGAAAACCCATTTATAAATTATACTTTCGTTTGTCTCTGGATAACAACAATTCTAGAGAAATACCACAAATTTCTTTTATAGACAGGTGTCCAATTTGCGCAGGTGTGTTTACTGTATGACTACCACCAAGTAAAAGCCAAAAGTTTTTCTTGACTGCAGTCAAGTGTTCGTTCTATGTAGGTGTTCGCTAACAGAGGTTTTCCTGTATTGCCGAATCACAAATTTTCCCGTCAGTTACGCAGTCATTCTTGTACTTGTACTCTGCTATTGCAGCACCTGCGATTCTCGTGTGTGTGCGTCATGTACGTGTGTTACATAGGTGACCTCAAGGAGCCAAGCCGGGCGATTCCACGCGGCACACTGGCAGCCGTTGCTTTCACTTTCGTCACCTACCTCATCATTACCCTGCTGGTGGCGGCCTCGTGTGAGCCGTAAGTGAAACTCGCTTTCAATGTTTCGAGCAGACGTTGTTCCGCTGTTACGCGACGCTTGTTTCGCTTTCGCTTTCGGGTAAATCGCGTCAACTATCATGTGGTAATTAATATAGTTACGTCGTTAACGTAACGAGTGGAGAAATTCACGTCAAAGCTGTGCCTAAACGAGGCTTGATTCATTACAGGTGCATCTAATGAGCTCGTCCGATTGTCATTATATCCTAGTCGAGTTGCCAGACAACCCCTTAATTAAATGACTGATGTTGATTTCACTGAGAATATAATATGGCACCTCATCGCCGTCGTCCTGTTTTATCCTGAACCTATTCAATGAAAATAGGTTTAATTAAATAAAAATTATTCAACTCCAATGCTAATCAAAGTGGGTGCATTAAAGTGCACGCTGCCAGTGCGGAGCTGATCCAATTAACTTAGTTGCCGTTAACTGTGGGAACTTTGCTAGTAGTGTTGCTTTAAACTTGTCTACATCTTCAGTTGTACGTCATCGATGTGGTGGTATTAACTGTTAGGTGGCCCCCTGGTGGCGGAGATTAGTTCAAAGGGATCGTTGTCAGAGCGATTTTAGTCGTGACATCCGTCATTGTTGTAACCTTTCATGAGAGCGCTAACCATTATCTGAGAGCTGAAAATGTTTCTGATGATGGTCCCTTGAGTAGTGAGTGATTGTGAGTCATCATGGTGAACCCATATATGGACATATAGGTGACGTGTACCGTTCTTGTGGTTGCTGTGTGCAGACTACAGACGAGCACATGCCTTTACAGCACTCGCTAACGAGGGCGTGATTTGCGTCACACATGTTTTGGTCCAACAACAGCGCCTTACGATAGACATATGTTAAATAGATGTGCATATAAGCGGTGTGCAGAGTCGTGCCCTGTGAGGAATTTCATTAGGTCACTTGAATATGAGCAGAACGCTGCTGCTTCCCAGGGAAGCAAATCACTCCCATAAGGTTTATCTATCCCTACTTGCAGAGTGTAATTAATTATATAGTCTGGTGTTCGCGTGTGTCGCTGACACATGCAATCCTGTTGCGCGAGGTGGAATTTACATATCGGCGGGTAAAAAATTGGCCTCTTTTACATTCGATTTTGATTCCTTCTCTCTGAGAATGTTTCACTCATGTATTCACTCTAATAATCATAATCGCGTTTTCCATCCCTTCTCGTTAGAACTCGCCTGCAATGCTAACTATGCCTCTCATATTCACACTCCGATATACACCAGCTGCGGTGAGCAAAAGACAATGCCGCGGGCTCGATGAAGCATCGCTTTAGTCTAACCATACCATCTGGCAGGCCACCGGCGAGAAAAACGTGTTGCGTCTGCATTGCGCCGTGTTATGTCCCTAATGCCTCTGCTAGGTGCGCGCTAAGACTAAATGGTGTGCAGGCATTAGATGGTTACCACAGTTTGAGGGCAGTGATGCCCGGAGTCACGTGTAGTCGTATCAGGTTATCTTACAGATAATTACCCGAGGTAGTTTTAGGTTGTTTAGTATTTATGTTTATATTGGTTATAATGAGGTATGTTTTAGCGTTAGGGTTAGGTAAGGTCACACTTGCTGTTAGTCAAGTCTGGCTACTACTTTGTGTATATAGTATGGTACCTCTGCCGGTACATTTCTGTAGTACCTGATACGACAACGACCCCTTGAGCCACAGTGAGGTGAGTGCACAGCCAACGCTGTGTCTCACCCACGTACGCGTCTGTGTACGCCTCGTTGAAACATGCTGGGGCCATAATTAAAAAAATGTTTGTTTGCCCTCGCCCGACCCAGGCTGAAAAGTTTGGGTAGGTAAGGTCGGCTTTTTTTGAGGGCAAACACAAATTTTTTTGAGAGTCTTTTTACAAATTCAGCATGGTGTCTACATGCTCAGGTGTGCTTGTGTGGAGATACCTTTTATGTTGAATGTTTGTTTTGCTTGTTACACATAATGTATTGCCTACAGATTTATATAATGTTCAGTGATACAATTTGTTAAAAAAAAATCAATCCAATTTTTTTGAGTCAACCTCTTTTTGGCGGGTCGGTCGGGTGAGGGCAAACAAACAATATTTTTATTATTTCCTGGTCTGCAAGACAGCATCTTCACCCTTTACTCTAGTTAGTGTAGAACCGCGCTCCTTGCTGCTGTACGTAAGGGTGTTTGCGTGATATTGTGATCTTGTGGCGTGGCGTGCTAATCCTATTGGATTAAATGTAATTTAATGCATTTTCATTAAATGTAATCTGTAGATACTCATGTTATTCCACTCCCTGAAGTCCACGTGAATTTTTCGGTTTCCTGATTGGTTGGAAAGTAAATATGTTTACGTTACGATTGACGTAATGTTTTAATGAAACTTCTTGAAAAGTGTAACAGACCGGCAAATGGAACAAAATTGACGAATTTAAGCATGATTTAGTCACATTAATACCCCTCAGGGAAAGCGCTGCAAATTGTTGAGTTTATTAAAATCAGAAAAATTTTCAGCTTTTTCAAACGTGTGGCATTCTCATCCCTATCAAAATACATTTTGTTAGGTTAATTAAGTTTATATCAAAATCAAACAGTCGAAAGTAAACCTACTTATATTGCCAGGTCAGCCATGTTCACAGCATCACAGAGCACTTATGTACATGTGACGTCCACATGCGTTGGGATTGTCTCGCTTCTCACGGTGTTAGTTTGTTAGTCGAGTTTTTGTTTCTTTTGCATACAGCTTTCTGCTGAAGAATAATTATATCTTACTGCAAGACATAAACCTATGGCCGCCCTTCGTGGCCGTCGGTATTTTCGCGGCCACGTGGGCAGCCGCTCTCAGCAATTTGATCGGGGCCTCAAGAATTCTAGAAGCCGTGGGCCGGGACCGAATCTTCGGTGAGTGTTTGCGAAACCGGCCGGCAGATGGCGCTGGGCGACGCGAGGGCCAGCAGGGTTACAGCGTGCGACGCTCGTGGCGGTTGAACGCGTCGGGGGCGGTGGTGACGGCGTGAGCGCGCGTCACGTACCGCGTCACTCGCGTCACGTGTCAACCTCGGTGACAATGAGGAAATGAGAACGTAAATTATCGCGCCCGCTTTCGGACATTTTTGGTCGTCTGCGCAATTCCTCGTCTGTGCTCAGCTGTTGTTTGTTCACGAGTTGCTTTCACTAGAAATCCCTTGTGGCATTGCGTGACAAGTTCACTGCCACTGACTGCTTGCACATAGTATTGCATACTACTTATACATAGTGTATCAGTAAGCCGGAATACTTGTGTACATAGATGTGGTTAAAGTATTGCCCATAGCTACTATATACATAGTGTATCAAGTACCGAATACTTGTAATAGTGTGTAAGCTATTGCATACTACTTATACATAAGTGTATCAAGTACCGAATTCTTAGTACTAGTTGTGTAAAGTATTGCATTACTACTTATACATAGTGTATCACAGTTACCGAATACTTGTACATAGTGTGTTAAGTATTGCATACTACTATTACATAGTGTAATCAAGTACCGAATACTTCGTACATAGTGTGTTAGTATTTGCATACTACTTATACATATGTCGTATCAGATACCGAAACTTGTAGCAGTAGGTGCTTGTTAGTATTGCATATTACTATAACACTAGTGTATCAAGATACGAATACTTGCTTAACATAGCTGGCTGTTAAGTATTGCATACTACTTATACATAGTGTATCAAGTACCGAATACTTGTACATAGTGTGTTAAGTACTTATACATAGTGTATCAAGTACCGAATACTTGTACATAGTGTGTTAAGTATTGCATACTACTTATACATAGTGTATCAAGTACGCCGAAACCTTGTACATAGTGTGTTAAGTATTGCATACTACTTATACATAGTGTATCAAGTACCGAATACTTGTACATAGTGTCGTTACAGTATTGCCATACTACCTTATACATAGTGTATTCAGATCGTTACCGAATACTTACGTACACTATGGTTGTGTTAAGTATTGCATATTTACTTACGTACATAGTGGTATCAAGTTACCAAATATGTAACATAGCGTGTGCTTAAGTATTGCATATTACTTATACATAGTGTATCAATGGTTACCAAATACTTGTTAGCATAGGTGTGTTGAAGATATTGCAATATTACTTATTACATAGTGTATCAAGTACCAAATACTGTGTACATAGCTGTGGTTAAAGTATTGCGTGCATTACTATACATAGTGTATCAAGTACCGAATACTTGTACATAGTGTGTTGGGTTGTCATCACTTGTCACGTGTGTTTTGTCCGTGAGTCTGTCGGTCGGTAGACTAAGTGTAGTGACCGGTCCATGTCTAGACCTCATTTCCTCATTTGTCGCAGCTGCCACATCGCGTAACTAGCATCGCGAGCGTCGTCGTGCTGTAACCGTGGCAACGCCGCCGGCGTTCCATCGCGTGCGTCGCGCACGCAGCCGTCTACAATCCGTGTCGTTTCTTTGTGCCATTTGCAGTTTTCTGTTGAAGAATAGCTATGGGTTTCTGACGGACATCAACCTGTGGTCACCGTTTGTTATAACCGGTACGCTGGTGGCTAGCTATTTTGCGTCTCTAGTAAAGATGATCGGCTCGAGCCGAATCCTGAACGCGGTAGCGAAGGACAATATCTATGGTAAGCACTCGCTGCTCGCTACCTCGCCGTGTCCGCCGGTGGCAGCTTACTGTAGTAGCGTGCTGGGCTAGTCTTCCCCCGCCGTCTCGTCTCGTAGTCGTCGGGTCATCACCCGCCACCCTGTGCGAAAATCCGTGTGCAGAATGTCGACAGTCTATCAGCGGGGCTGCAGGTTGGTGTAGCGCAGGGCAGTAAGGGGGATGTGTACATGTGTTTGATTGCAGTGCATTGTGGGGTGGTACTCTGTTAGGAGTAGGATTAGGATTAATGGTTAGGGTTGTTATAGGTTAGGTTAGGGTTAGGGTTAGGATTATCAATCATTAATCATTAATCATTAAATCATTAATGATATCAAAGTTGGGAACACTCCTAATGGAGCGTTAGCCGCACTGTGATGTGTGTGTGTGTGTATAGCTGGGTTTATACTACTGACTTTATGCTGTCAAATTCGCGAGTTGGACCAATTTCGCAAATTATACAACCGACAATCGACAGTGTAATTGTAAAGGTTGCGCGAGCAACTGCTTAATAGCAACTAGTTGGGAGATTAGAACATGTTCTATTTTCGCCAACTCTCTGTTGCCGAATTTGCGAAATTGGTCATATTCGCCAATTTGACAACATATAGTCGGTAGTGTAAACCCAACTTAACACTACATGAAACGCCACCATTTTGAGCACATTTTGAGATCTATTTGTTTTCCAGCAGAATCTCGTAATGATTCTGCATTGCATGGTAACCTAACTCGCGTCCACGCATGGTTATGTGTTTCAAGCCACAAGCCAAGAGTGTCGGCCACTGAAGTAACGCTGAAGGGGTCGTTGTCGTATCAGGCACTACATATAGTACCCGAGGTAACATATATGTATATACAAAGTGTACCAGTACTGTACTGCAGAAAGTGTACCCTAACCAGGCTGAACCACTAACCTAACCCTAACCCTAACCCTTCACCAGGTACATATATGCTGAAAGATAGCAGGTCTGGTATTACATATATAACGTACTGCGGGCTACATATATGTAGTACTGATACACAACGACCTCTATAAAGCTGAAGTAACCCACGCTTGAATGCCATTATGCGTTGATCCCCTTAATCCAAACAGTAGTTTAGCCAGCGCTAACTTGCTCGACTGTTAACAATAGAAATAACATTTCGGTAAGAATTACGAAATGAATCGAATTTATTCCCACAAACTAGTGAACACTGCTGTCTGCTTCTCTCTCTCTCGTCTATTCTCAGCCCTCCTCTCTCTTTTCCGCTTCTCTGCGCTCCTCTGCTCTCTCCGTCCTCTCTCTTCTCTCCTCTCTCGCTCTCTCGCTCTATCTCTCTCCTGCATAATTTTTATCCCCTCTCTTCTCTCTCTCATCATCTCTCTCTGCTCTCATCTCTCTCTCTCGCTTCTCTATCTATCTCTTCTCTTCTCTCCTCTCCTCTCTCTGCTCTCAGTCTGCTTCTCTCTCTCTCTCTCTCCCGCTCTCTCTCTCTTCTCTTCTTTTATCATCTTTCTCTCTCGTCTTCTCTCTCTCTCTTCTCTCTCTCTCTCGTTTCTCTCATTTCTTTCGTTCAAGTATAGCTGATTTTGTATGTTGCATTTTCACATGATGCTGTAGTGATGTTGGTAGTGTCAAAACCTCTGTTAAGTAGCTAGGTCTCTAATAGACTGAAACCTGCGGCATGGTATGGTGCTCTGAAGGTAATCTGTATAGGTGAACCATTGTATACAAATTGGCTGTGCGTACGTGTGGCGTGAGACCACCTCGTTCACACGCCGCTCACTGTTGTAAAGGCATCTGCTGGCGCCGGTCTCCAAGACTACAACTGGAGGAAACCCATGGTTGGCCGGGTGCTCGTCTCATGGTTCCTGGTAATGGTAAGTGCACGAAGACCACTTCGGCATTTGTCCTTCTCATCGCCATACAATCATGGCTGCGGCAGCTTTTCTCCTCGTCTCTGTTTCTCGTCTCTGCTCTTTCTCAATCGCTTTCTCTTTTTCTCGTTCTCTCGCTCTCATCCTTTCTCTCTCTCTCTGTCCTCTGCTCCTTCTTTCCTCACTCTCTCTCTAGCTCGCTCTCATCTCTCTCGGCTCTCTCTCTGCCTCTCTCTCTCTCTGGCTCTCTCTCTTTCTGCTTCTCGCGTGCTCTCTCTCTAGTCTCTCTCTCTCTGCGGCAACTCTACTCTCTCTCTCTTCTTTGCTCTCTCTCTCGGCTCTACTCTCTTATTCTACTGCTCGCTCACATCTCTCTTCTCTCTCTCTCTCTTCCTCTCTCTCTCACTCTCTCGCTCTCCTCTTTTCTCTCTAGATTTCTCTCTCTGAATCTCTCTTTCTCTCCTCTCCACTCTCTCTGGCCTCGGTCTCTCATCTCTCTCTCTCTTGGCTCTCTTCCTCCCTCTCTTTCCTTCTCTTGCCACGCGAGAAGCATTCTCTCCAGTTTTGTGAACGTGCAGATGCATGCACATCATCGTCTCTCCCGGGGAGAAATATGCCAACGTAATGTCCCCCTGTTAACATTTCATCCTCCTTCCCCGATAATAATATCACTAGGTCGCACGCTAGCCGACTATAACGATTTCGGATTATATAAATTCTCCAACTTATAAATTCTATGGGGTTTTCGGCCGAAAATGTAGTGTGTGCTCGACACGAGCTATGATCCTGAATTGCGCGGCACGAGGAAAGGGATTTTTTTAGAAGAATGCCAATGTGGTGCGACGTGTGACGGGTTTTGCTCTCTCGCCTTTGCTGCAGGGCTATAAAAATAGGTTGCAGGTTAGCCGACTATAACGATTTATAAATTCTATTCGGTTGTCGAACCGGTCGACCACCCGACCGAACCGAACCGACCGGCCGAACCGGTCGAACACTGCCGAAAATGTCGTGTGTTCTTGACACGATTCTGATGGCTTCACAAGATGAAAGGGATTTTTTTAGAAGAATGTGGTGATGACATTTTCTGTTTCGTCTCCGCTGCAGTGCGTCCTGCTGATTGGATCGTTGAACCAGATCGCTGAGATGGCGTCCATCTTCTTCCTGTTTTCGTACACGTGCACGAACCTCGCCACACTAGGGCTAGAGCTCGCCTCGGCGCCAAACTTCCGGCCGACCTTCAAATACTACAGGTAACTTTTTTAAGTGCCCCTCGACAGCAGGCCGCAAATGTAAATTTTTTTATTGGGGAGTTTTTTATGTAAATTTTTGCTTTTTTTATGTAAATTTTGGTGAGGGAGTTTTTATGTAAATTGGGTGGAGGGAGTTTGCGTTACATTTAGAAAGAAACTTCTAGGGCACTGTCGCAAATCGGAGGGGTACAAAGGCAAGCGTTTCCAGGGGTTGAAATGAATTTTGTAGAGTAAGGTGAGATGGTTAGTTGCTTTCAGTTTGGATGGCCTTTTGTTTAAACAGGTATTATGGCAAGTTTGAGGGGTAACTAAGGCAAACGTTTCCAAGGATTGAAGTAAATTGTTTAGCAAGTAGTGACTGAGTAACTGAGTAAGGTGAGAAGGGTGGTCGCTTAATTTCAGTTTGAACGGACATTTTTGGGCACAACTTTGGAGGGTGTATCAACGGACACGTCTCCTTCAGTTTATTAAGGATACTGTTAGGGTTACCGACGGGTAACACTGTAAAGGGCATTGCAACATAACTGCTTATCAAATTCAATCAAACTCATATCCATTACATAAGAGAGATGTCTTTCTACGCTCTCGATGAAATTTTTTTTCTTAATTCATCGCTAATTAAGTGACGGCAAAAATTACGGAACTGTTTGGGAGGCTACATACATAATTTCTACGTATACATAGCTGCCCATGGGTTCGATCTATCAAATAAAGTGGGTATTGAAATTTCGACAGAAAATCACCTGCCAACCCTAACAATATCCTTAAATTGATCGGCTGCACCTGCTACTTTCAGTGAAGGGTTATTCAGTATGGCATGTACATAATGGGCTGTATACAGAACAAACGTACTTGAGCTGGAGGTGTTACCCAAACTTTTTTTGAGAGTCTTACCATAAGGAATGAGAAAATATAAATTTTTGCTCTAAAAGAGTCATGTACACGAACACCCCTCCCCCCAGAGCCTAGAGTATATCGGCTGCTGCTGCTATTACTTTCAGCTGGCACACGTCGTTGCTCGGATGCGTCGGCACTCTGGTGATGATGTTCTTCATCAACTTCATCTACGCGTCGATCAGTATCATCCTCTTCATCATCCTCTTCATGATTCTCCACTACAGGGCGCCACTGGAGAGCTGGGGTAGCATCAGCCAGGCTCTGATGTTTCACCAGGTACGCATGCGGTGTCCGTCTGTGCGTGCGTGTGTGCGTGCTGCGTGCGTGCGTGCGTGTGTGCGTGCGTGCGTGTGTCTGTTGTCCGTTTATGTGTGTGTGAGTGCGTGCGTGCGTGCGTGCGTGCGTGCGTGCGTGCGCGTGCGTGCGTGCGTGGGAAAATCGATAAAAAATCACCATATTAATATTAACGGGAGTAAATACTAGGTAACAGTAATAAAACTATTATTTATTATTGAAAAGAAACGTATTTGTGTTACTTTGAAATGATCGGAATTAATTTGAAATCTTTTCTGAAACGTGTTCAGGTGAGTTGTCACCTGTTACCTGGGATGACGTGTGACACGCTCGTTACAGGTGCGTAAATACTTGCTGCTGCTGGACAGCCGCAAGGATCACGTCAAGTTCTGGCGTCCCAACATCTTGCTGATGGTGGCAAACCCTCGCTCGTGCTGCGAGCTCATACACTTTGTCAACGACCTGAAGAAAGGAGGAATGTTCCTGCTAGGTAGGTGCGAACTTAAGAAGGGGTAGTACTTGGGGCCGGTTGTCAGAAACAAAATTGGTCTTAACATTAGTTGTAACATTAACTTTTTCTCTTAAAAACAAAGTGATGTCGACAGTCTAGGAGAAATTGTCAATGTTAAGACTAATGTTAAGACTAATTTTGTTTCTGACAACGGGCCCCTGTTATTTATGTGGTTGCGTAATAATGGTAGCATGTTCATTCATAATAATGCATGTTTTTGTGAATATAGCTAAGTACGAAGGTTGTAAGACATGCTGGCGTTACTCTAGACAGTTGCTGTTACTCGAGCAATAACGGCTAGTATCGTAAAAGTGGGGAAAACGCGATACCAGTTGAAAATTTATATTTATGATTAAAAATTTATATTTAAATTTATATTTTTGAAATCTTTACTTTAATCCGATCATTTCTACAGTTACTGCGACACTTATCTTAACAGATAACAATCAAGCAAATAGATAGCAGATAGCAAGCAGATAACAAAGCACATAGCAAGATAGCAGATAACAGATAGCAATAACGCAAAAAAGTAACATTTTATTATTGGAATTTGATATTTGATTATTGCGCATTCAGGCGTTTATTTACGGGGTTACTCACTGACAGCTGAATGTTTGACTGTGAACGCAGGCAGCGTGCAGGTCGGCCGATACGAGGACGTCAGTGCTGGTGATCCGTGTCTCGATGAGCTGCCCTACTGGCTTGGACTTGTCGACCATCTCCGTGTGAAGGCCTTTGTAGAGGTATACGTCACTACTGTTGTTCTGTGTACGTGCGTGTGCATGCATGCAAGTGTGTGTGTGCGTGCGTGCGTGCGTGCGTGTGTGTGTGTGTGTGTGTGTGTGTGTATGTGTGTGTGTGTGTGCGTGTGTGTGTGTGTGCGTGCGTGCGTGCGTGCGCGTGCATGCGTGTGTGGGAAAATCGATAAAAAATCACCATATTAATATTAACGGGATTAAATAATAGGTAACAGTAATAAAACTATTATTTATTATTGAAAAGAAACGTATTTGTGTTATTTTGAAACGATCGGAATTAATTTGAAATCTTTTCGAAAACGTGTTCAGGTGAGTTGTCACCTGTTACGTGTGATGACGTGTGACACGCTCGTTACAGGTGCGTAAATACTTGCTGCTGCTGGACAGCCGCAAGGATCATGTCAAGTTCTGGCGTCCCAACATCTTGCTGATGGTGGCAAACCC